TTTTCTGTTCTACTATTTCTTTCATTCAGACAGTTGTATTTCTTTCAGACTATTACTTATAGTAAATTCTAGAATCCTCGTGAATTGTGACTTCAGATCCGGGTGGTAGTAATTAATATAGTTTTATGATATTCTGTACTTATTATATTTTATCTTAGTTAATTATTGTTAATTACTGAATGGGAATAAGGAATTAGTTTAATGATTCTCTAATGTTGGCTTGCCTAGCAAGTGAAATGTTAGGCGCCATCAAGGTCCCGTCGGTGAAAAATTTTGGGTCGTGACAGTTATACCTCAAGTCTCCTATGGGTAGCAGAATCCGAGCAAGTTTATGGTACGTCGCTGGGACCAACTCCAAAATCTACACAAGAAGTGCAGAGTGTAGTAAGAGTACAACTGATCCCATGTACTCCGTAAGTGTCAAGCCTAATCTCAACGAAGTAGTGACGAGGCTATGACAAGACACGTACGTAAACAACCTGTACAAGTATATACAAATACGAAGCAACAATAACATAATAAACAACAATTTATAAATTTGGGAGGGAACATGCGAAGGGGGATGATATATAGTTTTCAGCAGGAGAAGTGTCACGTAGCAGCCAATTAATTCACCAACAATAAAATGAGCAACTGATAATATGAAAATGGCACGGCACCACCCTTCGTGCTTTTACTCTTATTCCTCCCATAATTTTGATAAATAAATAATAATAATTGGCACCATATCACCCTTCGTGCTTTAACTCTCTTTTGGGCATGACATCATCCTTCGTGCTTTAACTCTCTTCTCACACGGCATCACCATTCGTGCTTTTACACTCTTTAAAAATGGCACGACATCACCCTTCGTGCTTTAACTCTCTTTCTCACTTCATAATTCAATAAATAATAATGTGAAATTGGCACGACATCGCCCTTCGTGCTTTTACTCTCTTCCTTACCATGAAAATAATAATATAAATTCGGAAGAGTATTTAAATACGGGGATATATACTTATCAATCAATTCAATACCAGAATACCGATTTCACCTTCCAAAATATTCACAATAATTAAACTAGCAATAATCTGATGAAAATGATCAAATAAACAATAATAACTTAAGCGGGAATATCTTAATTAAATAGGCAGTTATTCACAATAAACAAATTCCACCCGCATGCTTTGACTCAACCACAACGCATAAGTATTCGTCACCTCACATATACGTTGTACCCGTACATTAAATCACGTAGCAAATAGACAAATAAGTCATACTCCCTCAAGTCAAGGTTAACCACGACACTTAACTCGATTTACAACCAAATTCAAGATTCCAATAAACCTTTGCCTCACGAATTCGTGTTCGAAATCCTCAAATCTTGTCATAAACAATTCAATATACTCAATACAAATCGTAGAAATTGATTCCATATGAATTTACTAATTTTTCGGATTAAAATCCGAAATTCATTTTAAAAATTGATAGCGGGACCCACATCTCGAATCCAGAAAAAACTCATGAAATCAGAACACCCGTTCCAAGACGAGTCCAACCATACTAAAATTATCAAATTCCGATGTCAAATGGACCTTCAAATCCTAAATTTTCGTTTTTGGAAAGTTTTATAACAATTCCAATTACTTCCATCTAAATACGAAATAAATGATGAATATAAATATGGATTTATGAAATATAATCACTTTCGAGGATAGAACACTTACCCAAGTCAAAGTCGTAAAAACCCCCTTTGAAATCGCCCAAATCCGAGACTCAAAACTCAAAAATGAGTAAAAATGGCTAACTCTCAATTTTATGGGTTCTGTCCAGGCTTTTTCGCATCTGTGAGCTTGCATTTGCGAGACAAATCTCGCATTTGCGAAGTGAGGCTGCCAGGAGAAATTCCACATTTGCGGACTTCAATGTCGCACATGCGACATCGCAGAAGCGACCAAATGACCGCTGAAGCGGTCGCGCATCTGCGCCTCATTTCTCCACAGAAGCGAAGGAGCTGGCTAGTGCCCAGGTCGCAGAAGCGGCTCCGCATCTGCGGCTCCTTCTTCACAGGTGCGAAATACCAGAACCAGACCTGCATATTTTTACAAAAATAATCTGAAACACGTCCGAAACTTACCCGAGCCACTCAGGACCTCGTCCAATTATACCAACCAGTCCCGTAATATAATACGGATTTACTCGGGGTTTCAAATCACGTCAAACAACATTGAAATTACAATTCACACCTCTAGACTTTTGATTTTTCAAACTTTTTATTTTGCAAAACTCGTGCCAAAACATATTAAACGAATCCGAAATGACTTCAAATTTGGCACACAAGTCATACATGACATAACAGAGCTATTCCAATTTTCGAAATCTCAATCCGAGTCCGATATCAATAAAGTCAAATCCGTGGTCAAACTTTGAAAACCTTTAGCCTTTAGATTTCTAGTTTTCGTTAAATGGCGATAATTTGAGTTAGGGACCTCCGAATTCAATTTCGGCCATACGTCCAAGTCCCAAATCACAATACAGACCTACTGGAACTATCAAAATACTGATCCGAGTCCGTTTGCTCAAAATGTTGATCGAAGTCAACTCAGTTGAGTTTTAAAGCTCTATTTCACATTTTAATCAATTTTTCATATAAAAACTTTTCGGAAATGATAAATAGTGCCATTTGAGGTCTTAGTGTATTTTAAATTCGAATATTGTGTTATATTTAATTTGAATATTGTACTCTTCATTAGAATATTGTAGTATGTTCGGTTTGAATTTTATTTCAAATTAAAATATTATGGTATCTTTTAGAATATGTAGGAAAGTTTGAAGTATAGAGTGTAATACTTTTGATATATTTGATGTAATTTCAAAACTAAAGTATAATATGAAAGTGAATATTACAAATTATAGATAGCAGCATGAGATACAGCATATAAAAATATTGCAGTGCGTAGATGATGATGATGTATCAGAGAAAACGGTCAAGGGATTTTCATGACATCACAAGAATACCACTTGGAATCGTGACATCAATGTGATAGCTTAACAGATTAATGGCTCTTTATTTGCATCATCAACTATAAGTCTATAACCAACACATGAAATATATCTGATTTGCTGATTATGGCTATATGCCAAGATATCCGTTGTCCTATGATTATTTTCCTAGTACCTGCCTCATCCTTTTCTTTTTTATCTAAGTTATTTAAAATAATACATAATATTCCCTTGTCCCAATTATGTGACTCTTTTTCTTTTTTGGTCATTCCCAAAATGAATGATACTCCTTCCCACCTATAATAAGTGACCTTTTGATCTTTTAATTTTGGTAAAAAATAAGTGTCCTTTTACATAATCAAGAAGAAATTAATTTTATTTTTCCAAAATTTTCCCTTATTTACATATCCCAATGTGTTAAGGTAACAATAATTAAGGATAATTTAGTGAATACATATTGTTTTCTCTAGGAATTCGTATTTTGTTAAAGGGTGTGTCAAGTGCTAAAAAGTCACTTATTATGGACCGGAGGGAGTACCCTTTTATATTTAGTAATAATTCAACTTTAAATTTCATTTCTTACCTTTAATGAAATGATTTAACCACACAATTTCTATAATTTATTTTAACTCACAAATTTTAAAAGTTTTCAATTATTTTTTAAGTTTCGTGTACAGTCAAATACCTTTACATAAATTGAGACCGAAGAAATATCTTTTTTCACACAAACAAAAAGAATTGGTTTGATTGATACCTATAGGGGTGCCCAATACGTAGATGACACTTGGCACAAGTCACTATGAGTTACTATATGTTTATGTGTCATTATTCTACACAAGTTAGTCTCAAGTTTAAGTTGCATCAACGAGTAATTAATGTTAGGTAGTTTTTATAATATTGATATGCTTCTCATTATGTCAAGAGAAATTAGTGACTTAAAGGCGTTGTTGCATGTGTTTATATGTTTAACTTTTGCTATGGTATGATTAAAATTACATCGACACTAAACTTCAAACTTTTTAGTCCTGAATTCCATATACTATGTATAGTAGCATTTGAGCATCAAACTAAAATAACAGAAATATGAAAAAATTTATTCCCTTAACAAGCGTATAGAAATGCAAGAAAAATACATTCAAGAGGTTAATCAACCTTAATTACATTAACTTCTGCTAATGCGGTTCCAAAATTAAACATTTAGGTTGCAATATTACCGATTAACCATAGAAGTACTCAGGAATATTAACCAGAGCAACAAAAACAGTTGACACCTAATTAAAGCAGTGAAACTAGATACCTTAAAAATAAATCGAACCTAAGACCCTCCAAAATCATCTAATTAAGCCACATAGCATTCCATGCAACATATTATTTGCACTGTATGGTTTTTCTTTTAAATTCTCTCCCCGCTAGCTAAATAAGCTAAATTTGCACAAATATAGCCCACTGAACTAGTGTAGGACATCATTTAAATAGTGGCCAAAAGGGCCATTTATGCAAATAATCCGATGGAACTGCTTTATTTGGATGACCTCATCCGCCAAAACGATGATGTCCCACTCCCAATGGGTGATGTCCAACACCTAAGGGATGATGGCCATTTGACTGGCTAAAAGGATAAACATGGGGGCTATTAACCAAATGAGCCAAAGCTGTCATGGCATGAGATTGGCCTGAAATGAGTCCTGCAGTTGAAGGATTTTGTGCTAAGATAATTGAGTAACCATCGTCAAAGTTGCTCATGTCTTGTGCCACCAGTTGCCATATTAAGCTCCCTGCCATAGTTCCTCCCGCTTTCGCGAAATTGTATACATTTCTGTAAACTGAGCTCATGAAAGTGTCTCTTACATTTTGATTGTATCCTGGATCTTTGCTAGATTTTCCAAATTCAGCAAGCACCAATGGCTTCTTTAATATGGTTCTTGAATCTTGCCAATGACTTGTCATCCACCTTTGCATGAATACTCCTTGAGCATCATCACTTTGTCCTGACAACCTGTTAAAATAAACAAAAATTTGTACCATTATCCTATTTATTTATTCTATCTAATTATCAAAAAATTGTGTAAAGATAGGGAATTTTGGAGCAATGGTAAAATTGTCTCTTTGTAACATATTGGTCACGAGCTCAAGCCGTGCAAACAGCCACTAATGCTTCCATTATATTAGGCTATCTACGTTACACACCTTGGGTGCGCCCCTTCTCCGGACCCTGTGTGAATGCGGGATACCTTGTCCACTAGGCTTCCCCTCTTTTTTTTTTTCTTTTTTCTTTTATCAATATCTTGTATAATGTTGTTTAATTACTACATTTTTGTTTTGCTTTAGAGAATTTAACTATTCTGTATGTGAAGGATAAAAGAGATGTTTATTTACCATTGGTCAGTGTATGCATGTATAGTGGCAAAATCAATCTCCCTAATAAGGTTGCTGCTAATGAAATCTGTTCCAACTTGGTAACCAGGATTAAATTGTTTCTTTTCAGGCATTGAGTCGCCATAAAATCCTTCCATTCCTATCTCCAGCAAGTGTTTTCTATCCAGTGATTTCACAAAACTAGCCATCTCTTGAACCCATCCCTGTAAAATCACATCACATAATATATAGTAAGCAAAAAAAACATGAGACATTATTATAAGAACATAACAGATGATTAATATTGTGCATGTTTTTACTCACATGAACAGTTTTTCCAGAATAATCAGCATCGCAACGAGGCTCATTCATAAGTTCCCATGCCATTATTGTAGTGTCATCCCTGTATGCTATTCCAGTCATGGTATTGACTCTTGTCACTACTTTCTGTAGCACAATTTTTTTTATAAAAAAAAACATCACTTAGTTTCATATAAAATATACTATATCTACCACAATTTTTTATTCAAAATATTCATGGTGTCTTTTTTCCTACCTTAACATGGTTCTTGTAATAATCTTTAAGAACTGAATGAGTATAAAAATCATCATCACTGTTAATCTGAATTCCTGCATTTTTCCCCCACTGAGCATATTGACTTCTCCCTCCAAAATCTTTGTAGTTATTCACAAAGCTCAATATTAAACGAATCCCATACTTTCTTGCTTCAGAGATCACAAAATCCAATCCCTATCACAAAGAATTGATCCATGTTATAGGCCATAATATAAGATAAATACCACATAGTAAAGAAAACAAGAAACGTATTAGTCTATCGACCTGAAAAAGATTTACGTATAAGTTATATGTATCGACAATGTAAATATGTAACTTAACCTGTTATAATAAACAGGTGATTTACCATGTTTACTAGACTACTAATTAATGCTTACTATTAAAAATTTACTCATAAGTGACCTAATTACGTAAATATCTTATTACACTGTCAGTGTATAGAACTTAAGTTCACCAGAAAAACACGTTCATCGTAGACTCCAGGAGATATTTGCAATGCTGTATCACCTCCATCGCTAAAAGCCCAAGTCCTGCATACAGAAAGGCTAGCAGCAGAGGCTTCCTGGAAAACCTCTGAGACTTTGTATCTCTCAGTTGGGTCAGCTGCAACATGCATCAGCCAATACGAGTTGAAACCATTGAAGAGAAATGGGGATCCATTTAGTACAAAATGGGCTCCTTTTGTTCTAACAAATCCTAATTTATTAAGATTCCTAGCTTCTGTTACAATAACTAGGAGGAGGAGGAGGAGCAAGGCAAAGAATGAGCTTAATGCTCTAGTAAAAGAAGCCATTAATTAGTTTCTTAAAACAATGTATTGCAATAGTTTCTATGATGGGAAGAATGATTTGAGTACCCAAGAAATGTTTGTAGGACTATTTATAGTTATTTAGAGTTAGACCAGTTAACTAAAAATAGAAAAAAAGAAGTTGATGAAGTAATTAGGAGGATTTTCAGGAAGGAATTAAATCCTAGTTGATAGTGCTGGTTTACTAAATTTGGCAAAAACGATTTCTTTTATCTTATTTTGGTTTCAAGGTTTTGTGGAAAGCTGACAGAAGATGAAAGTTCAGTTGAAGGAAAAAGGGAAGAGATATATAAAAAATTAATCAAAAGAATGAAAGAATTGAAAAATGAAACAGAGATGATGTCTTACATGTGCTTATCCATGTGCCTAAATTTTAAGTATATATGATAAATTCATAGGGAAATTGAGAACTCCTTAAAATAGTTGAATAACTTAGAAAAGAACCTCATTATTTGAAGCCAAGAAAAGATGAAATGATCAGCTCATAACTTGGAGAGTTTTAGGAGGAGATGCATGTGAAGTTGGGAGGAGAAACAGGAATGAATTTGATGGTGTTTAGTTGGAAATTAATGCTTAGTTAGAAACAGCAGAAGTGGTGTTCTCTAACAGAAACTCCATAAAATCTGCATGAAAGAACCAAAATATTTCCTACATACCATTTTATGTGGCAGCGTCCTTAGTTAGGCTGAACACAAAATTTAAGAAAGAATGAATGACTTTTGAAATTTGTAATTCAAAATAAGTCGCAGATATTTGTGTGCCTATAAATCATCTCATTAAGAGTAAAACTGAAAAGTTTAAATTGTTTTATTCTTTTAGTGACAAACTAAAAAGAAAAGTGTATTATATAAAATGGGCTAGAGATAATGAGTCGATTCAGGACGGTTAAAGTATAGCCCCTATCGCCGGCTCTTGGGATTAGCGATAAGAGTACACCAGCCCGTGTAGTAGTGCGCGGACTAAGAATTTCATTCTTGCAAGAAGCGTGAAAATGGGTGAAAGAACCAAAATACTTTCTTCATCCCATTTTATGTGACAGCATTTGACTAAACACAAAATTGAAGAATGAATGAGTGGCTTTTGAAATTTGTTAATTAAAACAAGTCATAGATATTGTATGGTTATAAATCATCTTATTAAGAGAAAAACTGAAAGTTTAAATTGTTTCATTTTTTTAGAGACGGGTTAGAAAGGAGAGTGTGCTACATAAAATGTGACAGGGATAACGAGTCGTTGATTGACTGTTAGAGTTTAGACCCTCTTGCCGACAGTGGCGGAGCCGCATTGAACCAAGGGGTGTCAAACGATACCCCTTCGCCCGCAAAATTACACAATATTGCTAGATAAATTTTTATTTTATTTTATGTATATTTATTATACATTGACTCCCATTGCCTTTTCGATGTATCTAATTTTTTATATTTTAATACCCCTTGACAAAAATTCTGGCTCCGCCACTGCTTGCTGACTCTCGGGCTATTAACTATAAGAGTTCACCGGCCTGTGTGGCAGTGGGATCGGAGAACTCGTAAGAAGCGGGAAATGGGTGAATTAACGCATCACCAAGAGATCTACTAAGGAAATATGACTGGTAAAACTCATGAAAATGGCTGATGCTTGCATTCCAAGTGGCTAGCTTGCTCTAGTGCATCAGCCTCTCTACCCTGTCATAAATAATGTTCTTTAATTCAGGCATTCGAACTCCCAGTTGTCAATGACAACTTGTCCTCCTTCACAATTTAAGAATAAATACTAAACTTGGTCACAAAATAACTCAAGCCAGAAAAAAGATACTTAAAAGATAAACCTCTCTGCTCCACATTTTGAGAATAAATCTCTAAAGAAACAACACTGTTTCTAACCAAATTTAGGATTTTACATGAATGGCATAGCCAAAAGATTCAAGATTATTTCCTTTTTAAATAAAACAGTTTAATACTAAACTTGATCTTCAAATAAAAAGAAATGTTTGATGAGCTAAAAAATAATATATACTCCATCGGTTTCAATTTATGTGAACACATTTGACTGGGCACGGAGTTTAAGAAAAGAGAGAAGACTTTTGAACTTGTGGTGTAAAATGAGACACATATATTTTGTGTGACTATAAATCATTGCATAAATGTAAATTGTTTCCAAATAAGGAAAGATATCATTTTTTTTGACACAAACTAAAAATGAAATAAGTTGAAACGGAGGGAGTATATTCTATTGTAAAGTAATGCACCGCAGAGTCAATTGTTTGTTTGAAAGATATCACCTTGACGTAGCCTACATGTAGCTATTGGCTAATTTCTTATATAGAAACTCTTGTAACCTTTAACCCCTTTTCTATCAACTGAAAAGGAAAATTAAAATCATGAAGAAGTGGAGAATATGTTCATTACATTTTTATGTTATAATATTGTTCATTAAATTGGTCTAGAGGATATTCCAAGACGATTATTGTCACACACCACTCTCTCTCCCTCTCTCTCCCACTTAAATTGATGTTCAAGCAAAGGAATTGCTAAATGTGAAGACATGAAACTATCTATAATGGCATCGATTTGAAGCACAACATGTTATATTGTTCCGTATTAGTTGAGGGATGAACTATTGTATCTTTATATGGTATTGGATAATAATTTTCACTGCACGAGTTAGTTTTTGGGACTGAATTAAGGTTCAAGGTCCATTTTCTTAAGAGAATGATCTAAAATTTGAAATTAAAAAATGTGCATGTGCATACATGTAATATACATGTATGCAGAAAATATGAAAATCTGAGAGGTCAAGTTTTATGAAAATAAGATAATTTCCTACGTCATTGGAAGTTAGAACATGGAAGTAGCATTGCGATTCGGTGGGCAACTTTGCAGAAAGTCTGCCGTTTTAATATGACATCGTACCAATTATCCGATAATGAGTAAAACCGCCAAGGCAACGGATTATTTTAGTATGACATCTCACTAATCCAGCTGACGTCTTAGCACAAGATATAAATGTAATTCTTGAAAACATGTATTATATCCAGGGTGGAACTACAACAGTGATTTAATGGGTTCAATTGAATTTCTTTTTTCATATATATATATATATA